ACACCATTAATCCGAAATCCTTTTTTTTTCATTTCTACCCTATTCGCTAAACATTCCTACACTCCCATCCATTTCTTCTTATCGTTTTTCATTCATTTTTTTTTATTCCATCCACTCTTATTCCCGACCTTTCTGATTTTTTTTTCTATTCCACGACCAAAATACTTTCTGATTTGTGCAGAATTTTTTTTCTATTCCACTCTTATTCCCAAAATACTTTCTGATTTGTTTTTTCTATTCCATCCTCTCTTATTCCCGAAGGCGGCCATGCAACCCTCGGAGGATTCCTGAACTCCTTCGTCCACGTCGTCATGTACGGTTACTACCTCCTGGCCGCCATGGGTCCCAAGGTCAGGCCCTACCTGTGGTGGAAGAAGTACCTGACCACTATGCAGATGGTTCAGTTCACCGTCGTGTTCTTGCACAGTATGATGGTATGTTGCGTTGCCTTTTTGTCGTGTTTTTTTAATTTCTATTTTTTTTTAATTTTTCATTTCTTTTTTTTTTTTTTTCTTTCTAATTTCCATTTTTTCTTTTTTCTTTCTTTTTATTTCGATTTCTTTTATCTCTCTCGCTCTCACCTCATATCCCTCTATGTACTGTCTATACATGTCTCTGAGACAAAATTCTGAAAATGCAGAAACACACGGACACAATGTATATAATAATAATAATAATAAAAAAAATACTACGTGTTAATTGAGAACTCGCTTTTCCCTTCCCAGTTGGCCTTTATCGAGTGCGAGGTCCCGCCCGTGCTGGTTCGGTGGGCGGCGAGTGTGGCTGCCCTCTTCTTCGTCCTTTTCGGCGATTTCTACATCAAGGCCTACAGGAAGAAGGACAAGAAGGCGGTAAGTAGCGCGAGGGGAGTGTACAGGGGGAATCCGTGTATAAAGAAGGATTTTTTTTTTAATGTTTCTGATGTGGAATTTGTGGGTTTGCAGCATCCTGTAGTCTTTGAGAACTTGGATAGGTTACATACAATTTCCTTCTTCCGCTCAGGTGAAAACCGATGCCAGTGTTTCGCTCAAAAACGGACACGCAAATGGAGTGTCCAACGGCGTGCATAGCGGCGCTGCGGCAAAGACCAACGCCGTGCCTAATGGTGCTCTGGCCAAGGAGAACAACGGCGCGCTCAAAGTACCCTGCAACGGCACGACGACCTCGGCCACGGCATACGAGGGCATGACAGTGAGGAACCGAGGGGAGATTTGAATTCCACACGTTCCCAGACCCGATAATCCAAATCGTATATATATATTTTCTTTTTCTTTTTTTTGCACGGGATCTTGTCGTCGACGGCATCCCCTGCGTTGCTTGGAATCCGGGATCTCTTGCTGTTATCATTACACAACAATGAGATCCTTTTGTTAATCTGAAGATATACATCATTCCTTTGCCTTTCATCGACCGATATTACAGCAGCATTCAAAAATCCCTTTGGAACTTATTAATGACATATATCATAACTATTTAACAAAGGCATTCTTATCTATTCAAAAGCCAGTAAGCCATATTTCTCATTTTATTTCCCATTCTCATCATCAAGGAAACACCGTCTTCCTTGTACCTAAGAATCTCCCCTATTCACTCTACAGTCTACCTACGTATTATTTACTATATAGTCCGCGAGGTGAAAAAAGCACATACACAGAGGGCATTCAGCTGCCTTTTTGCTTCCACCGTTATCTGTCTCTTGTGCTGAGCCTTTCGAATTTCACTGAAATCTTTGGCCAGTCACTGCTTCGACAGACAGGCTGAGATCACTTGTACTTCAGGTTTTGTTTTCCTTTTTTCAGCAGAATGTAAACTTTTAAACTGGAAATACCGAGTCACTGTACACTAGTTTACGATTGCAGCGTGTGGGTAAAGCTTTTGATTAAAACTAGATTTTTCTGTCTATGAAAGAAAGAAAGAAAGAAAGAAAGAAAAAAAAAACGCAAATACTTGAGGACATACTTTTATATATTGTAAATGTCCTGTCGAAATATAATTGCAATGTTACTTGACTGCTTTCTAAAAACTGAATACGTGACATGACAAGGTTTTAGATAAGAACAAATATCAAATCGAATCTCTTAACGGTTAAAAGACTTTTTTTTTTAGCTGTGAATATTCCGATCCATAAGGATTGACTTCTTGATATTCGCGAAATGGAAATTAAAATCAAGATTAACCCAAACGTATTATTACGGTCTTTTGTAGCAACACGAGAGAAGTGATAATGATTTAATAACGAAAGTGTTATACTTGATTGAATTGATAATAACCAGCTCGAACACACACACACACACACACACACACACACACACACACACACACACACACACACACACACACACACACACACACACACACACACACACACACACACACACACACACACACAGACACACGCACACACGCACATACAACAACAAACAAAACGTGAACACAAATAGATACAAAAAAAACAAAACAAAAAAAAAAAAAAAAAAAAACGCACATACACACTATTAGT